GGAAGGGCTGCCTGCCGCCGGGCACGGCCAAAACCCTGCCAGCCTCGGTGGCCAGGCAGGAGGGTTTTACCGTCCCTCACTCAGCAAAATAGCTGGGCATAGAGTTTAATAAGAATAGGATCAGGCGCAGGGTTTGGACAGACAAGCGTGCTGAGCAGCAGCTTGTTTACACACAGCTGCTCCCTGTTATCCCCCTTCTGCTCCATTTTCCTGTGCTTGGTCCTAATCTGCCTTGATAACCACCCTTTCCCCGTTTTTGGCGTCCCCCCAAATACTCCAGAATACGCTTTGCACAGTCACACAAGCACCCTCACACATAGTAAGTTTGTTCTTGCCGTGAGGCTTTTGATAATCTTGTTTCCCCCTTCTTATCAACCAGTACAAAGTTCTGGCTGAACCTCCTCAAGGCTTTGACTGGTTCCTTCAGTCATCAGTGGCCTGCGGGATCTGTTTCTTGGTATTGCTTCCGTTGTCTCCTGTCCCTTCCGGTTTCTGTGTCGGGGGGGTTAATTTATTACTTCTGTCTCTTGTCCAAGTCTTGTATGCTGAATAGCTGTTAACCAGAGAGCCTCAAAAAACAGATTATCCTGACGTATCCTTCCACATATCCTTACAAAGTGTAATTCTGAAAAAGAAGAAAGACACCTTGCAAAACAGGGCAAGAAGTAGAGATAGGTAATTAATAACTTGCTAAAAAAATTTTTTTTTAAATTAGTATCGGTTTTCCTAAATGTGCTTCCATATGATGGGTGATCTGTTTTATCCGATAAGCTAACACCTATCTACTGTATGAACAAACCAGAATAAATTCAGTCTGCTATGTGGATTTCAATCTAGATTTTGAAGATGAGAGTATCACTCTTGGCTACCCTCTTTCTGACTTGTTGACTGTTCTACTGAAGGAGGTGGCATTGTATCAGTGTGAAAGAACAACTTTAAGGCTGTGTTCTGAGAGTTGGGCCTTAAACCCGTCTCCACATTCTGGATGAACGTCTTAACTAACGGTCTGCTGAATAAAGAAAGGATTTTGTCATTATACTAACTCCACCTTTTGTAATGTATATCTTAACTCTTTTACTGTATGCTGATAATTTCTGTTCTGTTTGTTTTTCATTTCTTGATTTTCATTTCAGCAAGGAAAAACCTAAACATTTTTTTCTTTCACCCTCTATCAGTTATTCAGGTAACCCTACCCAGAAGGGAGAAAAAGCTCCAAAGGAAGAATTAACGTGTGAATGTATCTGCATGCCTTGCTGTTTTTTACGGATTTTTATGAGGGAGCCTCAAACGTTAGCCTGTACTTATATACAAATCTGACAAGTGATAGCATCCTCCTCTAAGCACCCAAAGTATGGTAGGCTGTCTGGAATTCCAAATCATGTATGGAGCTGCTCAGTGATGGCTTGGCTTCCTAAGTTTTTAGGGCCTAGTTATGCAGGCAGCCTTTTATACCTGATTTCCATGGCTATATATTCATAAAAGTTAAAGAATAACTAATCAGAGCCTTATTCTTTAATTGTTTGTAGGAAAAACAGAAAGGTGGACAGTTTAACTTAACATTTTTTTTTTACCATCGCCTTTTTTAGTTCCTTTGTTTTCAGATGTCCCTTTGAAAAGTATTAGCTTGCTATTTACCACAAAACACAAGTTTTTCCCTAGTCCTCTCCTATTATCTCCTCTGGTCCTTGTTTGAATGTTTTGGTCTAAAATCTCTTCTGATTGTTCCCCGTGTCTTTTAAATTCAAACATACCACCTCTTGGCAGCAGGATTTTTCTCACAAAACAGCAATTTTAGGTCTCTTGGTATTGGGTTGCTCAGATAATAAGCAGGTATGTGAGCAGCAGTGGCTGGGAGTGATATTTCTCCTGCTGTGAGACTGTGTGGTTTCTTCACCCAGCAAAGCTCAGATACAGCCTGCATTACTGTGTTCCATTGTGGGGCATGAGTTTATTGTGTTTATATAAA